TATCACAAACATTTTAATGATTGCAAAAGCTTAAACACATTTAGGTGTAACCTGTTATCTATGGAAAGTAAAAATCACTTAGCAGGATCAATTGTCAGTTAAAACCATAACTGAGTCCATGTGTATCATACTGAAAAATGAAGCTAATTTAATCAGATAAACTGCATACAAATGGCATAACTTTGGTGGAGTTTTAAAATGTTTGTGGTTCCTTTGATATATAAAATGCAGACTTAGGACAATAAAATGCCTTTTGTTATCAGATATTTAAAAAAGAATAATTTTGTTGCAGCTTCTGAATAAATAATCACATTAACAGTGGCTATTGATGAATGTGTTGGGTCCTTTTGGAGACAAAAATTTTAAGTGTTACTTGATTAGCATTTCTACTTCAAGTATTATATCCTACAAAACTACATAAACTGATGTAAAGGAAGAAAGGAGGAAAATTGCTAAAGAACTTGTCTAAAATGACCTTTTAAGAATAAAATACTAAAATGATCAGTTTTTATGAGGGCACAGAACAAGATGAGGCAGAAAGAAGTGATGAGGGAATATGAAAGTTCAGGGCTTCTGACAGAAGGACTTGTGACCAACTCTCACTTTTACGGGAGAGTTAAAGTTAAGTGAAATGTCTCAAGCCTTGAAGCATGGTTCCTAAAGCTGTCACTTTTGCAAAGCGTAGTGCAGAATTTTTCTCACAAGAGAAAATGTGCTGAGAGAAAGTTACTTGTGAAGGGCATACACGTCATACATTATTTTCATTATAATGCTTAGGATATTGTACCAGTTTGATTTTAGAAATTATAAACATACCAGAATTTGATGAAATATCTGAGAAATGAACTTACCTGCTTTGATATTAATACTTCATTGTTAATGCTATTTTTGTTTTTACTCTCATCAAGATTGAGACTGAGCCGGGGGGTACAGCTCAGTAGCACAACTCCTGCATAGCAAGTGTGAGGTCCTCAGTTGAGGTTCCAGTACCAAAAAAAAAAAAAGGATTGAGACTAATTAAGACAGTAAATAATTGATATTTTAATGTTACTAGTAGGTTTTATTGCATCTTTATTGGGGAACTTAGAAAATATGGTTCCATAGAGGCCAGAAAAAAATAGTTTTTTATTTTTTGTTTCCTATTTAAGAATATTAGGAATTTAGCAGCCCATAAATGTTCCTGCCTTTGATCTTTGCTTTTTTTCTAATGGCTTGTCTTCCTGAAAACTAACTAACTTACTTACTTACTTTATTTATTTCTTTGTTTCCTGTAGGCGCAGAACAGCCTGTCCGACCTGGTAGTCATGGATATGTTCGCTCTCCTTCCCCTTCATTAAGAACTCAGGAGACCATATTGCAACAGAGACCCAGTGTTTTCCAGGGAACCAATGGAACCAGTGTAATCACACCTTTGGATCCAACTGCTCAGCTACGAATCATGTTAGTCTCTTATATACATTTGATTTGATTTGTTTTGTTTTGCTTTGTTTGAGACAGGTTCTTGCTTTATAGTTCAGGCTGGACTTGAACTCAGTATTAAGCTAGACTAGCTTCAAACTCTTGGCAGTCGTCTGGCTTCAGGAGTACTGGGATTACAAGTGTGTACCACCATTCCTGGTTCTTGTGTATATTTTAACCCCCCAAAATACCAGTTTCTTGTACATACTGTATGTTTTTTGAAATTTGTGACTGCAATAGTTTAACACAGTCAAAATTTTATATCCACTAATTATTTTTACTGTTCAATTTGTCCTTCTATCTCTCCACTCCAATCCTAGTAAATGATCTTGCCTTCACAGAGCTGTGGTTTTATTTACAGGCCACTGCCTGCTGGGGGCCCTTCAATAAGCCAAGGCCTGCCAGCTTCCCGTTACAACACTGCTGCGGATGCCCTGGCTGCTCTTGTGGATGCTGCAGCTTCTGCACCCCAGATGGATGTTTCGAAAACAAAAGAGAGTAAGCATGAAGCTGCCAGGTTAGAAGAAAATTTGAGAAGCAGGTCAGCAGCAGTTAGTGAACAGCAGCAGCTAGAGCAGAAAAGCCTGGAGGTGGAGAAGAGATCTGTTCAGTGTCTGTACACTTCTTCAGCCTTTCCAAGTGGCAAGCCCCAGCCTCATGCTTCAGTAGTGTATTCTGAGGCTGGGAAAGATAAAGGGCCTCCTCCAAAATCCAGATATGAGGAAGAGCTAAGAACCCGAGGGAAGACTACCATTACTGCAGCTAACTTCATAGACGTGATCATCACCCGGCAAATTGCCTCGGACAAGGATGCAAGGGAACGTGGCTCTCAAAGTTCAGACTCTTCTAGTAGCTGTATGTATCTCAATCTGAGTTTCACAATGTGATATCTGAGTAAAGAATTACTTTATTCTCTAGGTAAAGCACAATTGTGTGTATAAAGCAATCCTAATGCTTGACATTAAATGTAAGAGAAGTTCTTTTACTGGTCAGTGCAAAAATGTGTCTTCTACAAAGTGATTTAAGTATCGTATTTCCTAAGTATAAGCTTACTGATGTATTTTCCACAAGAAAGCTACATTTTTCTATAGAGCCAAAGTTGTAATATGTTTATAAATAGTGGCCAGAGCTTATTAACATTATTTAGGCATTTGAAAGATTATCAAAATCTGTACTACTGACGTGTAATTTCTCAGGAAACATTTGTTGGGACAAGGATCACTAGGGTGACAGTTCAAAGCCTTTTATGTCCTTTATCTAAACTTCTAAAATTTCTAGATTATTAAAAAGACTACCTTATTATTGGTAATTGATGTTACACCTTTCTTGGATTTTGACCCAGTCTGGTTAGTCATGGTAATATGTGCTCTGCAAGTATAAATTCATAAATCTCCCACTAAAATGCTAGAAAAGTTCTTTTGTACAGTGTCTTTATTAGCCAGGCATGGTGGTGTATGTCTATAATCCCAGCACTTGGGTGACTGAGGTAGGAGGACTACTTTGAGTTCAAGGCTAGCCTGGGCTACACAGCGAGTTTAAGGCCAGTCTGAACTGCATAGTGAGACCTTGTAAGTAAATAAATGTATTTTTTAACCATTTCCTAAATTCTGTGCAGAATTCCATAAAAACAAGCAGGTATTTTAGCAAGTAGCTGTCAATATTAGAAGTTAACTAATTATGTAGTTGTCTGTCATCTATTACAGAAAAAGTAATAATGGAGATAATGAAAAGAATTTCTTGTGTAGCAGTATGCAATCTATTGTTCTTTTTATCTCCAAATTTCCACTTGTCTAATTACAATTTGTTTGGGTCCATATGCAGATATGGCCTACATATTGAGCATCCATTGCTGAGAGTTAGAAGGGAGCAGTTTAGTGTAGAGTATAGTGTAGAGATTTCCTTTTAACTTGAGATTTGGAAAATCTACACTAAAACATAGCATTTCAACATGTAGAAAACTGCTATCTGAGGAAGAGGTAGTTTATGATCAGGTATTTTGTAGGGCAGTTCTCTGCACACACAGTGACCTCACCTGGGCTCATAAAATGACAGGTGGGTTGCCAAATTACCAGATGAAAACACTTCTTTTTCAGTTTGCATGATAAATCACATCTTGATTTTCAGTGGATCTGAAAATGTAAATCACAGGTTCTTTTCAGAGGGTTCATGTTTCTGTATCCAGTTGTCATTTTTATCACTGGGCAGTTACACCAAATCCAGACTATAAACAGTTATTCATGGGGTTTTCAGTTTGATTCAAGAGCCTTCCTCACTGTGGGAGAAGTGCATTGCTTCATTTGGTCCCTGTGTCTTCAAGAGCAACATGGACACAGTCTAGTATCAAACTCTATTAACAAAATACTATCAGCAGATTTAGGATGCTGATTTATAAGCAGTATTAATAGTGGATACAAGGGTTGCAAATTAGTGTAAATTGCTTAAATTAGACATTCTGGTTCTTCAGTGCTTTTTTCCATCCCATTTGTGATGTTTCTCTTCTGCTGAATCCAGGTAATTGCAATGTTTGTAACTTGTTTGGGGGCAGAAGGGTCAGGCAGTAGAGGAGCAGGTAGTCGTAGCACAGTAATGAGAGTCTGTCCTAAGTCTTTTGTTTGTGTGTACAGCCAGGGTCATAGGCCTTTTCCTCTGACCCTTTGAGGTACTTGTAGATACAAATTCTGAATGTTCCTAAACAGAAACCTATCCTTGGGTCTCAGCCCTCAGCCTAGGGCAGGACTATGAAGACCAGTCAATGCACCCTCTTTGTAACCTGTTTTCTTAGGAAGGGGGCTCTTCTCATGTGGGTGATATCCAGAGTTGGTTGATATCCTATGAGTTCATTTCTATTTCCTATCATTCCTTTTTATTGTCAAAATGTAATACAGTACAAAAATTATTGAAGTAGTTTTTGTTTGTAGTACTCCAATTAAGAAAATCAGTATAGTGTTACATAACCTGTAGCCATAAAATCACTGTGGTAATGAAGTAGCTTTATAGCCTCAAACTTTTTGTATAGATGGTCTCTGAGAATTGGAATATTGGAAACAATTAACTATTGAGATCTACTTTTCGATTTGTTTATCTTCTCTGATAAGTGTTTCTCTAGTGATTTTTTTCAACTCCCAAGAAAATATTACAAATTTGTTTTCTATTCAGCCTGATCTTATTGTTTATTATGGGCTTTTTAAAGATGGTCTGAAGAGTTTATAGAATCTTAGAAAACTGTACCCTACTGAGATTAGGGACTCAAAGACTCCTGTGATACAATCTACTGGGCTCAATAAGTTTTATCATTATTAACCTGAATGCCATTGAATATTTCTGAGAATTCAAAAACTAAAATATGACATTAGGTTTGAAGAAGTTGTTCTTTAAACTTTTCATGGATTCATTTTAAAATAAGACTTCTTTTCTTAAAGTATCTTCTCATAGGTATGAAACACCTAGTGATGCTATTGAGGTGATAAGTCCTGCCGGCTCACCTCCACCACCCCAGGAAAAACTTCAGGCCTATCAGCCGGAGATTGTTAAGGCAAATCAAACAGAAAGTATGTCATGTTTTAATTAATCATTTCCTTATTTGTCAAAGTTATATTAAAGTATTTTTTTAAAGTAATCATACGTGAATCTGCTTGAGAGAAAACTGCAGTTTAAAGCTGCCGTAATGAAAGCAGTGGGGAGTAGGGCATGCTGGGAATTGAATGCATGGCCTCACGTTTTAGGCAAGCATTCTGCCAATGAGTTACATTCCCAGGACCACCCAAAAAGTAGTTTTCTCTTGCAATATTGGGGATTGAACCCAGGGCCTTTGCACTAAACTACATCCCACAGCTCTTTCTCCCTCCCCTAAATTTCTAAGTTGCTCAGGCCAACTTCTAACTTACAGCCCTAAGGGCTGGCCAGATAGCTTAGCAGATTAAAGCTCCTGCAAGCAGGCGCAGCGGTTAGGGGTTCAGTCCCCGCGGCACACTAAGGTGGCAGTTGAGACTGGGCGTAGCAGTATGCACCTGTAATACCAGCTTGGGAGGCTGTAAATAGGTGGATCACTATGAGTCCAATCTAGTAGTGGGACCCTGAACACCCTTTAGACCCTTCCCTAAAATTTAAAAAAAAAACAAACCAAAACCTACAGTCCTCCCTTCCACAGCACTATGATTACAGGTATGAGTCCTCATGTTCAGATGAAAAAGGTTTTAACCTATTATTTTGTTTATAGTTGGAATAATACAGGAAATATTTGGTATTTTCTTTGCTTACTTCATTTTATTCTGTTAGTCCTCAGATCTTCATTGGTGGATAATTTCTGTTTCAAAATTGAAATACCTATATTCATTTTGTAGAGATTTATCCAATATCCTTTTCATATGTTCTTCTGAATTATATTTAATCTTTGATGAGTGAAAAATGGGGGCATCTCTGGAGTAAGACCTATCTGTTCTCTCTTAAGGTGATCCCACCAGACAGTATGAAGGACCACTGCATCACTATCGATCACAGCAGGAATCGCCATCTCCACAACAGCAGCTGCCTCCTTCTTCACAAGCAGATGGGATGGGGCAGGTGCCCAGGACCCATCGATTGATCACACTTGCTGATCACATCTGTGTAAGTTTATTATTATTATTTTGATCATGGAAATAGCTAATTTCTTATAGAAAATAAAACAATTAAAGTATCTCTTTTTCAATGGTTTGGGGGAATCCATGCTGAGTTAAATCACTTATCTTGTTCACAGCAAATTATCACACAAGATTTTGCTAGAAATCAAGTTTCATCACAGCCTCCCCAGCAGCCTCCCACTTCTACATTCCAAAATTCACCATCAGCTTTGGTGTCTACACCTGTCAGGGCTAAAACATCAAGTCGTTACAGCCCAGAATCCCAATCTCAGTCTGTCCTCCATCAAAGACCAGGTTCCAGAGTCTCTCCAGAAAATCTTGTGGACAAATCTCGGGGAAGGTATGGTCTTTTTAAATTTTTTGTTTTACAGAAGGGTCTACAGGGTGTTCAGGGTCTCACTACTAGATCGAACTGGTAGTGATCCACCTGTTTATAGCATCCTAAGAGCTGGGATTACAGTTGTGTGCCACCACGCCCAGTCTCAGTTGCCCTCCCAGCATGCCCCAGGGGCAGGGCATGGCAGGCCTGGGGATTGAACCCAACCCCTGCACCCGCTTGCAGGCACTTTAATCTGCTGAGCTATTGGCTGCGCCCTGGTATGGTCTTTATTATGAACTATATGTAAATTTCCCCACATTAAAACAGCTGGAAAATATCTGGAAGATAGAGGATTAATGTCTTATATAAGTTCATTTGCCCTTGTTTCCTGGAAAGTATAAATTGGAATTTTTCATAGGTGTGTTAGTCTTAAAATGTCTAGTGGGCATTTGATACTTTTTATAGTGCATATTCAAAAGTTGGCTGTTGTATATTTTGTGGGCTATAAAGTAGTGTGATAGTAATTTAGGGATAACTGAGTGCTCCTTCAGAATCATCTCCCAAGTTTGGTGTGATGGTACATGATGTCTGTACTCTCAGCTACATGGGAGGCTGAGGTAGGAGGATCATGGGTTTGAGGTCAGCCTAGCAATGTCCTAAGATCCTGTCTCAAAAACAAAAACTAATCACCTATCACTATTCATCTCACTAAGTGGTTTCTGTTGGGCCAGTAGTAGTACTAGACCTTTAAGAAGAAAGTGACATTAAATAAAGGAAGGCATCATAAGAAGCATTGTATATGGGAGGAATATCTGATGAAGAATATTTTCTTACCTGATACTCTCAGTGAAAAAAGAAGGAAGGTTTTTAGTTCAAAATGGTACATTAAACATCAGCAATGTTAAATTACAGTTAAATAGCACAGTTAAATTGTTAAAAAATAGCATTTGTAAGAAAGCCAAGAATCATCATCAAATAACAAAACAGAGATTCTGGGAGGTACCTGGATTACACAAGCAAACAGATGAACAAGAGCTGTGGAAGTCATAGTTCAGCACATGAAAAGGGAAAATCTGCAGCTGACTATCCAGCCTCCCTACAAAACCCCTCAAAGTTAGTAAAGAATGGAAAAAATAACAATATATTTAAGAAACCTTAAAAACTTTATTGCAGAAATTTTCAAACATACAAGTAGAATAGTAACACACCCCATACAGGACTATTTTGAACCAAAACTGGATGCTATTGATATAAGAATGGGAAATTCCCAACCTGGCCTGGATGAGTTCATGTTCTCTAAAACCGAAGAATGAATTTTAGGAACAAACGGAGGATGAGGGTATAACTTTATTGGAAAGGAAAGCTTCTGTCAGAGAGGGACAGAAGGGGGGCCCGAGCAGGTGGCCCAGGAAGCTGTTTCTTCCAGGGACTTTTATAGTGTAAAGCCTTGCGGGGTTGAAGTAGAGACTGAGGGGTCTTGCTTAGGCAGATGCAGGGTGGAACAAAACTATGGTCAATGAATGGGATTACAAGAACCATTTGCTCAGGTAAAATTGATTAGGCCCAGGACCAAATGGGGTAGCGAGTCACGTAGCAAGCAGGCATGAATGTAAAACAGGACCTTATCGGGAGGCCTTCAGACCATAATTCTTCCTGAGTAATGATTGATCCTGGATGCCAGTCTTTAGGTTCGATTTACAGCAGGGGCCTCCATCCTTCCCACAGTTGTAAGGTGCCTGGCTGTTGTCATTTCCTTCGAGGGCCTGACCCTGTCTGACTGCCTACAACACTATTAAGAATAGAAAGCTCTTTTTACAGTGATGGTTGATTCCTTACATAAAGTACTTTGTAGCGGATTTTGAGCAGTTGATGGCATTATGAAAAAACAATTCATTTGCTTTTTCATTTGCAGTATCTGTTGTTGCTATATCTGTGCCTCTGAATGAAGAATGTTGAATTTCTTTCATGGGTTTAGTAAAGTTACCTGGATTTATAGTTTAAATTGTTCATGTACACTAGAAGGAAAACAGGAGTTTTTCTGTAGTTCTAGAACAAGATGCAAATGCTATAAATCACACAGAAATAGCTGAAAGATACTAGGACATGGGGGTGGGTGTAGACAGGGAAGATAAGCAGAACAGCACGGAGGCCAATTTCAATTTCTTACAAAAAGAAAAAATAGATGGTTAAAGAAGTATGCTATGTAAAGTTAAAAACAAACTAAATGTTAAAATGTGTTAAGGTGAAGTTAAATTAATGTCTGTAAATTTAAGAAAGCTGATACTGTATCAGATTTGATAAATCAAAAAGTAAAGATATAAGATTAGTTTCAGAGGTAAATACCAAACAACTGCCAAAAATTCAGACTTGGGGCTGATTAGGAAAGGAAATAATCAAATAGTATTTTATGTATGTGCTTAGCTATAGTAGTAATCAATTCAGCAGTTGGAAGTCACAGGTGGTGCTTGGTATGTATAATCTGTAAGTCAAACTTTCAGGGATGGGGGGGAGTCCTAAATTGCATTATCCTTACCAATATGGTGTTGGAAGGAAAAACACAAAATTGCATAAAACCTCTGTGCTAAAATGGTTTAACTAGAGCCTATGTTTAACTAAACAAGACTCCTTATGGATCAGCTGAATACTTAAGTCCTTACCAGAGAAATTAATGAAAGACTTGGTATGTTATGAGTTAAAATAAGCAGTGAACCCTTGACGGTTCACCTGGACAATGGGCCAAGAGGGTAGGATGGAGCCTGATGCTGGAAGTGCTGTACATGCAGAGCTTATCATGGGGAGCTTCCTGCCACTGTATCCTTCTTGCATGTCTGTGGAGAAAGGAGCAGGAACTTTTTGATTTTAGGTCCCCCCCCCTTTTACTTGATACAGGGTCTCACTAGCAATCCTCTTGTTTTCAGTCTCCCCTGCACTATTACAGGTGTGTGCCACCACGCCCCAACTCTTTTGCTCACTCAGCGCACCCCGGGGGCGGGGTCAGCACTGGTGCAGCATGTGGGACTGGGGATTGAACGCTGGTCCCTGAACTTGCCAAAACAGGCGCTTAGTCTGCTGAGATGGCTCGCCAGCCCTGTTTTTGAGAACTAGGTATAAAGCAAGTCAGCAGCCTTTGCTCAATGAAAACATCCTTTGATTGTAAAATGAAGTCATGAGTTAACAGTTTGTTTAGAGTAAGCTCTTATGGAACACAGTCTAATTTACATGTTACAATTGTAGGCCTGGAAAATCTCCAGAGAGAAGTCATGTCTCTTCAGAGTCCTACGAACCCATCTCCCCACCCCAGGTTCCAGTTGTGCATGAGAAACAGGATAGCATGATGCTCTTGTCGCAGAGGGGTGTGGAGCCTGCAGAGCAGAGGTAAGCAGAGTACTCCTAGTCATAGCTTTTGAAGCCAGAGCAGGCTTAGTGCCTTGAACTTGTAGTTACTGTCTTTTCACAGTGCACTAATGATAGTGGATTTTAGCAAAAAGTATTATATCTAAATAAAGAAAATTTATTATTACTTTTAAAATGAGAGGCCCATAGGGCCACTTTTTCACTGAGTCAACATAAGCACTGGCTCATTAAATAGACGTTTTGTTAGCCATCTCTAACAGTTATTTGTCACCTTTCATTCATTCATTCACTCTCTATACTTCCCCAGAGTGATTTGTCTGAAACTCACTTCAGCTTAAGCACTTAAGTTCTTCTAGGACCAGGTATATACAGTTTTATTTCCTACTAATCTTTGCTGTATTCTTTGTTCCCTGAATTCTTTTTGTTTTTTTTGGTGTCTAACAACCATCTCCAGTGCTGAGAGGTGAATATGTGCTTTGCCTATGGTCATACCATTAAGATAGTCTGAAGTCTAACTCCACACTGTTGGTGCATTTCTTAGAATATATAATTATTTCATTATATACATTTATAAACAACCAAATGTTATCTTCAGTAAAATGAAGGAAATTTATTTTTGGAAGGGAATGATGTTAAATATATTTACATGATTTCCTTTTGAATATACATACAGAAAGCATCATGATAACCTGTTTGAGTTTTCTGCTTGTATCCATTTGCTGCCTGTTCATTCCTAAAGAATTTCTATTCTAGGTTATTGCCATTTTAATCTTAATGTATGCTATCATCTTTGCAGGCTAAAGTTATTTGACTGTGACCTTAAATGACATACTAACTGGATTGTGGTAACATGGTCTTTCTAAAGGTTGTAACCACAAACACAAGATTGGGAGCAATAGTTCTCCAAGTATTCTATGACTGTCATCATCATCCATTGGAATGTTCTCAGTACATGAGTGTAACAGACTGAACTGTGTTCCTGACAGGAATGATTCCCGCTCACCAGGGAGCATAAGCTACTTGCCCTCATTCTTCACCAAGCTTGAAAACACATCACCCATGGTTAAATCAAAGAAGCAGGAGATTTTTCGTAAGTTGAACTCCTCTGGTGGAGGTGACTCTGATATGGGTAAGTGGGATTTCTTCCATGGACCCCAAATGAAACATGCATTAATATTGCATTCCTGCCTTTCCTGTAATCCTTGACTGAAAGCTCCCCAAATGTCTGCTAGTTCACAAAGAGTAGTCCTGTTTGGGGAACAGAAACCTTTTCTTCTTTGAAGCTGTCCATTATTACATGGGTTGGATTAATTCTCCATACTTTTTTCTTCTTGAATCCATTAGTTTTAGTCTTACCTATTTAGCTTGTCTCCACCTGACATCATTTCACACATTTGAAGATGTGTTTCAGAGTCTTCTTGTCTTTGTAAATAGCCCATGTCATCAATGGCTCCTCACATCCTGGTTCTGTGTACCTCTGCTATGCCAACAGCTTTCCACCAAAGAATACAAAGTAGTGCAGTATATCCTAAATTTGTCATTATTTTAAGGCACCCTTAAATTATCTTACAGTTGGTGTAAATATAGGTGTCAAGGTCCTGGTGGACTCTTAAACCATACCTCTCCATTTGCTTTTATAATTACTAGTCCCAAGGACAGGACAAGACAATATGTACTTGTTCCATTTCAACTACTTTTTCTCCCAGCATCTGTCTAGATCAGTTTAGTTGTTCAGCATTCACCTGCAACACAGATAATAATAGTGAAAGATTAACTGGAATTTATTGTGCTAGACACAATTCTAAATATATACATATATGTACATTCACATAACCTCAAAACAGTGGTACGTGCTATATTTATCTCCATTTTGTCAATGAAGAAACAGACTCAGAGAGGTTTAACAACTAGCCATGAGTTATGTAACTAGTTAGTAATGGGGTTATGGTTCAAATCCAGGCATTTTAATTTATGCTTGCAGTGATCCACTGCCTTCCAACAATTCTGTACTCAGCATTCTTAACCAAACTTCTGGTAAATAGGTAGTAAAGCTGTATTAATGTGCATGCATTCCTCAGAACTTCTTGTATGTTAACACAGCGTTCTCACTTGTGTGACTCTCCAGTCCAGTCATACCCAGTGAGGGTGTAGGTCTGCCTCCATCTACTTTTTCTATTTGATGTGTCATGTACTAGTCTTATGATCCTGTCAAAACAAGAAATGCCAGGTGGATGTAAATTTATTTTTACCACTTTGTGATTAATAATTGTTGAACATCAAAGAGAAAAAAAACTGAGCTCAGTGTTGTTTGTAAATTTATTTAGCTCCTTAACTACTAGATTTACCTTTTGAAATGGCAAAAAATCATCTCAGAGAAGTGCTAACAGATGATCTCAAGATAAATATTTGAAGAGTATCAGAATTGTTTTCAAGCATACAAGATATCTTTTTAAAAAAATTAGGGGCTTATTGTCTCCTGTCTTCAACAGTTTCATTTATTATTTACAGCTCAAATGTCACTTCATTTTCAGATTCTCTCATATTGTCAAAGTATGGAGATGTACAGCTGTAAAGCAGTTGCAGGAACTGTTTGAGCTTGGTGTGGTCGATGTTCATCCTCTTCAGCTTTTGTCTTGCCCTTCTACAGGGAAGGCAGTCAGTCCCTGGTGGAGGTGCCACGTAGGCTGCTGCAGCTCGCACAGGCTGCACAAGCATACCTCATAACGTGTTCTTCCCTAGTGTTGTGTTGCCCTTCAGCAGCTCTCAGCAACTCAGCAATCATAGACTGAGTTGCGAGATGATCTCTACTCTCTAAATGTACAATCACAATTTACCTACTGTAAGAGAAGATAAAATATATCAGAACTCACACAGCTGCTCTAGAGTCTAGTATTTTGAATGCTAAATTTGTACTAAAGAACTAGTAAGCTCCTAGGAGCCCAGAGCACCATGCAGTCTTCACTGGGAAACTTGAACTAAGAAATCAAAGCCACAAGCAACCAAGATAATTTAGCTTCAGAGAACTGTCTTCAGTTGATGAGTTTATTCATTTAAAACCATACATTAAAATTAATTTCCATAGCTTCTGACACGAACCCTTTTCCTTTTTCAAAAATACAGTACTTTCTTCCCTTTTAGATGTCGCATCCTCCTATGTATGCTCATTTGCTTTGGGGTTTTTCCCTTTCCACATCTTTGGGCATTTCTTCAGTCTTAGGGTCTTAAGTCTTGCTTTACTTAGTCCTTGTTTTTTCCAAGGTGCTCTTCTCTGCCATTTCCTTTCTGAGTCATTTCATTCATGTGGGAGGCTGAACCCGTCACTTTCATGCTGAAAACTATTCTGTCTAGGTTCCAGCTTCCCTCCTAAGTTGGGATGTATCATTCCAGACCTCTTTTCCTCTTCAACAGCTGACTGGCTCCTTAAATGCCTATAAAGTTTAATCTACATTCCACCTCCCCACACAGAAAGTTGTTTTCTTCCCTTCCTGTTACCTTTTACACCACCTACCACTTTCTTGCATCCCTGTCAAATCTGCCTCCTAAACAGAACTTAGCTATCTATCTGCCTTTATTTCTTCTTTATTCTGGATAACACATTTTAAAATTCCGCCCAAGTATTTTAACTACAAATTATTTAAAATATATATTCAATACATATCTTCTAAAATGGCCACTTACAAGAGTCTATAAAAGCAGATTAAATCCAGTATTACTTGGTATTTCTGATACTTTCACTAGCTTTAACTATTCCTTTCCCAAACAAAAATTACGAGCATGGCAAGCTATTTACAAGATGATATGTAATTGTGTTGATCAGGCGGACACATTGTAAACATTATCCTTTCAGCTCAAAATCTTTCTCATTTATTCTCATCTTGCTCATTTATCCTAAAATAAGTTATCCACTGCCTGTTCAGTGCCTTCATGAATGTCACGTTCTTTCATTAAACAAGGGGTCCTCAAACTTTAATACACGTACATCATAGTCATTTGAGCACTTATTAAGTATATGAATTATAGTGCTCCAAGAATGTAGACATTGTGCATTTTTACCAAGTTACCATGTGGTTATGATTTGTATGGGCTTAGAAAACAATAAGATACATTCTGAATAAATGTTAAGTCTTACCATTGGTTGAACTAATGGAACTATCTAAATTTTTAAATTAAAAAAAAAGCCAAGCATTGTGGCACACACCTACAATCCCAGCAGTTTCGGATGCTGAGGGAAAAGGCCCAGTCTGGACAACTGAACAACTCATGGAGCTCACTCTCTCTCTCCTCTGTCTCTGTCTCTTTTATTTCTTTTTTCTTTTTTTTTTTTTTTTTTCTCTTTTTCTGTGGTACCTGGGATCAAACTCCGGACATTCTGCATGCCAGGCAGGCACTTACACCACTGAGCTGTGAGCTGTCTTAACTGGCCTGAAAACATCTCTTTTAACCAAAAAGTATAAAAGGCTGGAGACATACCTCAGTGTAAAGGCCCTGGATCCTGGGGACATAGCTCAGAAGCTTAAGCACCTGCCTGACAAGCACAAGGTCCTAAGATCAATCCCTGGTACAAAAAAGAAAAAAGAAGAAATCCCTTACTGTAATTTAAGATTTAACCAATAATAGCTAAATAGGTAATGAGTTCTATTCCACAAACTCTGTGAGAACTGTAATGCTAAATTATTTCAGGTTCAGTTTATTCACTGTTAATAGGCTTGTAACAAAGACTGTCATCCATAGTTACTGTTTTATGTTTCCTGAAAAATTTTTCTCCTCTTGTCTCAAATCTACCTGATAAAGAATATCAGCCTCTAGGCACCCTTACTCTCACATCTTCACAGATGGCTCTCATCCTTAGGTTAAGAGTTGATCCTCCTGCAATTTTACCTCATTCATTTGTTTAAGAACCCACTTATATCTTGCATTCTTTTTTTCATTTAAAAATTTAAAGCATCAAGCTGGAAGCTGGAAAAACATTTTATGTCCCCAGATTCCTTCCCTTCCTGGCACAAAATGCTTTGTAATCTCCAGGTCGCCTGTTTTCATTCAAACTGCAATTACAAGTTTCACAGCAGGACTGAAAGAATCAGGCAAAACTTTTGTCTTATCCGGGGAATATCCTGAGAATGAAAGAATAGCTTCCAGTTAGTTACAGTACAAAAATACAGTCCTTTTCATATTATAACTAACATAGCTTTCCCCTGGTTCTAATTTAAAATCCATTGGTACTTTAGGAATCAAGTTAGAGCTTGAGGTTTTCTATTTTACTAGGAAGCCAGGATTCCTCTTTTTACAATGATCTTTTTCCTCTTTTTCTCCAGAAGAGCAAGATCTCTTTTGAGAGTTTATAGTACTTGTTTTTTGTTTTCTGCCTCACCTAATTTTTCATTTCCCAATTTCCTTTTTTGAAAAAAGAAATATGATTTCAGGGGGCCTGCCCCTTAGCTCAGTCCTTTAAGTGGCTGCTTCAACAAAGCAGTCAGACTCAGGTTGCTGTGGTTCGATCCCAATTCAAGCCAGCCAAACCTGCCCTGAAGGCATTCGGAAAAAAAAAAAAAAAAGATTTCATTTTATCTCCACGTAACAGATGTAAAATAAAGGCTGAAATCATGGACAGAAATTTTACTGTAGGAAGTTTTTGAGACTTTATCAACATACATGATTGTCTCATCTCAGTTAACTGAAATATATGTTTAAATATAGCAGCTGCACAGCCAGGAACTGAGATCTTCAATCTGCCAGCAGTTACTACATCAGGTAAGACTCAAAATATGTCTTTAAAAAAAAAAAAAAAAACAAATTGCATAGCCGGGGAGATGGCTCAGTGGAATAAGCACTTCTCTGGCAAGCGCAAGGGCCTGAGTTCAATCCCCGGTTCTGCCCAAAAAAAAAAATGTCATTTACCACTATTGATTTGGTATCGTAGTATTCAACTCAAAAAGTAATGTACTGATTGCATACCAGGGGATTCTTCCAGTATGCAAAAATGATTATAGTCAGGAAGAGTCAACAGCTCAGATGGGGAGATTCAATAAACACTGAAAGGTAAATGAAGAGAGAATCAAAATTGGTAAAGGACAAGAATGGCATAGATAGTAGGAAACTAACAAAAGTGGTAAATTAACTAATGGAAGCATGGGTAACAAATTCCCAGAGAAGGCAGATTCCTTGTGTTACCTGTGGATGGAGATAGCCTCTGTGTTGACCCTCACGGGTATTCTAGGTAACTTGAATTCAGTGGGCTGGAAGGGTGTGTGCAGTCTGTTCACTTCCCTGTATCCTGAAACAAGCAGAAATGTGTTCTTCTAGGTGCAGTTAGCTCTAGAAGCCATTCTTTTGCTGATCCTGCCAGTAATCTGGGCCTAGAAGACATTATCAGGAAGGCCCTCATGGGAAGCTTTGATGACAAAGTTGAGGATCATGGAGTTGTCATATCTCAGCCTGTGGGAGTAGTACCAGGTAGTGCCAGCACCTCACTTATGACCAGCAGTGAGACACGGAGGGATGAAGGGGACCCATCACCTCTCTCAGGTAAGAGTTTTCATTTTAGTGTTCTACTACCTTTTTTGGGGGGTGGGGGGAAGAAGCAAACTTATTTGCCAAGTTCTGATGCCTCAATGAGATAACCATTTTCTCAGTGACTTTTGTTCCTTTTAGATTTTTAAAATATTTTTTACCTGCACAGAAATAAAATTTACTCAAAATCACTGCCCTGGAACCAGATTTTTGTTTGTATCTAGTTCTTACCATACACTGTAGTGAAATCACAAGTTGTTTTTGAACAAAAGTGACTTAAGACTGCAGGAAAAAAATTATAGGCTTAATGTAATTTTAACCCATAAAAAAGGGAAAGAAACCAGTGCCACCCAGTCCATGAAGTTACAGAACCCAGGCAGCTAGTGTTGCTGTGGGGTAAGCAACCTTTCACACAGGTCAGAAAAGAAGACTAGAGTTTGATCCTTTTAACCTCCTGTTAAAACCAAGCAAACAGAAAACTTAACTTTTAATGTTCATATATGACCTGTCTCTTAATCTTTTGAGAAAGTACCTTTTCTACTTAAAAAAAAAAAAATTACCTGAAAGCAGTATTTATTTTTAGTGTTATTTTTCTTTGTTATCCTCAAAAGATCTCACTATGGTTGCATAAAGTGAGATGAGAAGTTCTTTTAAAAAAAACCCCAAAACGCTACACACAGCTTGAAAACTTAGCAACTTACCAGGTATTCTAAAAAAACATTTTCTATGCCACGGGGAAGTAGGAAGGGGGTGTTGCTGTAGACCCAGACAGGGCGCAGGGCGCATATAATCCCAGTGCTGGGGAGGCTGAAACAGGAGGATCACTACGAGTCTGAGCTGTGTCATGAGACTCTGTACCAAATAATTTAAAAAATAGTAATAATTTCCCCTCATCCTTAGATGCCAGTTTTTATGGATTTAAAGTATGTGTTTAATGTGTAATACTGGTGACTATTAGTGAATTACAGTGACACTGGTACTGGATGTGGGATATGCTAATACTGTTCTGCTGGGGCCGAGGAGAAACTGTGCTAGGGACAAGAGCGCTTATCTCATTTGAGATCTGTAATATTCTATCCCAGAACCCAGTCAAGAATATCTCATGCCTGTGAGCTTCATTAAAATACAAAGGGCCACCAAGACTTACTGAGTCTCTGCTGAGGTCTTGCTAATACAGTGTTTTAATGCCTATTTGCTTACTTTGATTTAGGGGACAGAGCTCAGGGAAGTAGGTAGGAAGTAAGGATTTAATATTCTGTCATTTAATTTTTTTTCTTTCCTTTAGCACAGCTTCTGTTAGCCAGGAAAGAAGCTTCTATGTTTCAGAATTGTGTTTCCTCAGTTGCCAGAGTTTTTTAGTCTGAAAATGCAACCCTTTGCTGGGGTTGTATTAAATGAATTTGTCTTTTAAACACTGTTTTTATTTCATCAGCTATTAGGGTCTGGAGTTTTTAAACACTATTTTTATTTCATCACCTATTAGGATCTGGAGTCTTTATACTATCATTTTGCTTTATCACTTAGCATAATTTAACTTGAATTTTATTTTTAGGAGGCGTCTGCAAACCAAAGCTCATCAGCAAGTCCAGCAACAGGAAGTCTAAGTCCCCCATTCCTGGGCAGGGCTACCTGGGAGCTGAGCGACCCTCCTCTGTCTCCTCAGTCCACTCAGAGGGGGATTACCACAGGCAGACACCAGGGTGGGCCTGGGAGGACAGGCCCTCTTCTACAGGTAAAGAGCTGGGTTTACCTGGTAGAAAATGAAACTTAAAGCAATTCATCTCAATACTTTGTTACTAGTTCCTCAAACAAATCAGTAATGCTTATAGTCTGGAAAATGATATTCCTGTTTTTGTATCACTCATTAATAGATTCTAGTTTGCAGAATAAGTTAATAAGTTAATGTAATCTCAATCTTTGATCCAAGGTCTAACAAACAGCTATGAAAAGATCTTATCCATTCTACCCACTTCTGTATTATGCTTGTTGGTAGCTAGCATCAATTTATGGTTTCAGTTCTTTCAGGAGTAGAACCTATTAAATACTACTTCCTCCCAAGGTGACTTTACCTTTCATATGAATATTCTTAGATAAAGCTCTCAAGAAAACACCAAAAAATCTAAATCAGATTTAGAAGAGTTTAAAAAACATCATCCATGGGTTCATTATGTTCTCCATTTTGTACTTTTTTGTAAAGTTACAACTCTGATACTAGGATATTTGCTAGGCGTGGTATACCCCTATAATCCCAGCACTTGGAAGGCAGAAACAGGAGGATCACTGAGTTAGGAGTTACAGACCAGCCTGGGCTACAAAGTGAGCTCAAGGCCAGCCTAAACTGCATAGTGAGACTATCTCAAAACGACAAAAAAAAAAAAAAAACCCAAAAAACAAAAAACAAACTCAAAGAAACCCTGGGATACTTGCTATAAATTTTAAGGTTTCAGACAAGTTTTTGCTGTCCTTTTCTTAGCAGGTTAAATATACATTATGTCACATACATTTTTAAAAAGCCTTAACTGACCACTCTCCCTTAAACATAAAAAAAATGAGCTGAGCATGGTGGTGCATGTCTATAATACCAGCACTGAGGAGGCAGAAGCAGGAGGATCTCCCTGAGTTTCAGGCCAGCCTAGGTTACATAGTGAGTTCAAGGCCAGCTTGAACTACAGTGAGACCCTGTCTCAAAAAAACAAGACCAAACCATTATACTAATACAGTTTAAGGCTTTCCCCTAAATTTTATATTATTTTGAGAATATATGACTTAAATGAATATTGCTGCTTCTCCATATCTTAGTAAAGGAATTATTATGAGACCACACAGACCATTACTTGATTAAATGTTTTTAGTTTCTCAAACTATAGGTGCTGTTCTAGGGACAGTTTAACTGTCTAGAAATCCTCAAAAGGTCGTAGTGTTCTTTTTACTTAATGGGTCCTATTTGTAGATCTATTCAGTGAGATTCTCTAGATCACACACATATTGCTGCCTCTCCATCTATAGACATTCCTGGGTATCCCCCCTTGTGAAAATTGTACTCCATTTCTTGTGTAAAGTCAAGGGAGATCTTGGTGTAACCAGACTTTCAGTTATAGCTTAATACTCCATAGTTTCATTTAGTCCAGCTCTGGGCATTTCTCCTGTGGGCTTAGCAACTCTCTATTTGTTTATTCAGTGTTACTTGTCCTATGTAGACTTTGTGTTCCATAGTGGTGAAAACTCAGACTTTCTATGTTGTATTAATTTTTTATTGTGTAACAGATATTTTACTAGAATAATCCTGTGCTACCCCATCCTGTAATGGTTGGATTAGATGAAACATCGATTATGCTTGTAACACTGAAACCCTACTTTTTCTTTTGTCAGGTTCAACTCAGTTTCCCTATAATCCTCTGACAATGCGGATGCTCAGCAGTACACCACCAACACCAATTGCATGTGCCCCCTCCGCTGTGAACCAAGCAACCCCTCACCAACAGACAAGGATCTGGGAGCGGGAGCCTGCCCCTCTGCTCTCGGCACAATATGAGACTCTGTCGGATAGTGATGACTGAACTGCAGAGTGGATTATTTGGGCCAGGGCCCAGAGAAAGCGCTCCAGTGTTTGGTGATTGCATTTTAATTACAGGTTAAAACCTGGCCTTCCTATGACTGCACCCAAAGACTTTTCAGAAGAGCCAGGGCCACAGAGATGAAGAAATGATGGAAATTTGGAAAGTCAAGTGGGACAAAATAAAAGAACTGCCTTTCATACAAGGCAATTCAATGGATTATAATAGTGGAGGGTTGAAATGTAGTTTTTAAAAAGTGGACAACTCCTGTTCTTACATCAGTTTGTAAAGAAAAAGAAAAATCACTTTTCTGTAAATAGATGACCTTTTTGCAGTGTATCCCCTTGCTGTAGTATTTGGTGTACTTATATGTTCAAATCAACACATCAACATCGGGGGTAATTTTTAAAAATCTTTTTTGTCTACCTTTTTAACCCTTGCCTTCTAAACAACCTCACACAGCCCATTTACATGATGGCTGTCACGGGCATTGTACTTTTATCTGATTTCCTTTCCTCTAAATTCAGCTTCCCAGTGATGTTTAAAATCTTGTGGAAAAATGTTTAATTTTTTACACAAACCCTGCTATACAATCTGTACATCAGGGTCAAAAGGTAGGAGCAACAAAATTCTGCCATATTGTAAATTTCCAGTGCTGGCTTTAATTTTTTTCATTAGTAGCACTGAAAAATATTGCATGGGTATGTTATACTTCAGTTTTTAAAGTTTTAAAGGCTTATTTGAGGCATACCTCACTGTTATGCACACTGGTAATTTAACCATGCCCCTAAGTACTCCTTTTCTTCTGCATTTGATGCAGCCCAACAAAGCTTTTGTTTCAAAATAAATTTGACTGCCCTGTCCATAGCTATAATAGATTGTTATTTAAGACTCTTGGTGTCTCAGGTTTCAAAGGAGAAACACTTTTCTTCAATTTGATACATATAATTGGTTGAGTTAAAAGAAAATCTGTATGTTATCTTGGGCTGTTTGACTTGCTTTGGTACTGCATCCTGGAACAAATCTTTCCCACCTCTTTGTTAGCACCTACTTGTTCTTCCTTCCTTGGGGCAGGAGTTCATTGTTTAATATTTTCATTTCACAGATCTGCAAAGTGCAAATAATGTAAAGGATTGCATTCTAAAGTATGGCACAAGGGGCTCCATTTTATCCATCATTAGTAATTGTTTGTTGAACTTTCAGATTTTTCATACAAATTATAGCATTTAAGCATCTTTCACTAGCATATAGATACTAACAATTTTGGGAGAAGGCCACTCACAACTGGAAAGGGCAAAAATAGCAGTCTCTCAGGATCATTAAAAAAATAGCACTTTACAGACTTTCAAGTAAACCAAAATTTTAAAGTACTCAAACCTCTTAAGGAAGCAGTTTTACTCACTGACACCCTCCTATCACCAGTAGCACTGGTGTCTAATCCCTGTTTTACAGATGAAGATAGGCTTAATGCTTTATCATATACTTCACTAAGTGACAAACACAGGCCACTGCTCTTTGTCCAGAGTCAAGGCCTCTCTGCTTGTTACTGTTCTGCTCTTATACACTTGAGGGTCTCAAAACAAAGTGGTCAGAGTTCCTCTTACTTGGAAAGTTGACACTTTTATATTTACAATTACATATTTTTTTCTTTTTGCGAGTACCAGAAATCAAACTTCAGACCTTATGCTTGCCAGGCAAGTGTTGCACCACTAAATCCCTGGCCCTTCAAGTATAATTATAACGTGAATGAAAACTGATGACTAAATGTTTTCAATAGTTTTCTCCTATTATTTTCAGGTACTGACAATTCTAGAGTTTAGTAATTGCTAACTGACCCCAAAGGAGAACAAGTTAATTTCTAAAACCCTGAGGGTCTTAATCTATTCTAAATCAATCAATGCCTAACTTGTTACTTTTGCAGTTCTAGTTTTTGCAGTTCTAGTGGAGGCCCCCAAGGTAAGCTGAAGCTAACTACTCCACCCTCATCACAGGAATCAAGTGATTACTTCACCTCTTACTATCTGGAGAAGAGATTTCATAATAGGAGATAAAATGCAGTATATCACTGCTTAAAACTGAGGAAAGGACAGAATTTTATACAGCTTCCTTATTTATGGGACAAACCCTGAAAGGGGTAGAAGTTCGTCTTACCATGCTGCCAATGGCAAACATAGCTCAGCCAGTGGCTGATGACTTGCCAAAGCCAGCTGCAAACCAAGGCATACCTCTGCTAGCTTACACTCAGCATTCTGATGCTGTATCTGTAAGCCTAATTCTTTAGCAACTAGAAGTAAACTAAGGTCTCCCAATTCTGCTTATAAAAACATTACAATTTTCCAGTGCATGTTTACAGTTGGGAATTTGATAAATGCTTTAATTGTGAAATGTTGAAAACTCCAAAGACAATATGGTTCAGAAATTTATACTATTTTAAACAAGTTTTAGTTCAAACCAATCAGTAAAAGCAATCAATGCTCCTTTTGCTTCACTACCTTGGTTTACACCAGTGCAAATGAACTCCAATGAGAATATCCACATGCAGAGATTCTTTTTTGAAAACTACTAGTTTTTCCAGAAATGAGATTATAAGCTCAATCATTGTGAAGGACAAAAAACTTAAATAAAAACCTTAAGTTTTAGTAACTCTTGCAATTGTGAAAAAGTAAACATTCTCAGCATACAAGGTGAGTGGTTGACATTCATTTTTTTAAAGACTGGATTACACTGGAAACTAATAATCTCAGATTTAGATTTGGTTGATGGAATTAGCTGGTTGGTAAGCAGTAAGCCTAGATAAAAAGCAGAAAAAAATTATATCTGTAAAATATAAAATTCTAGCTCTAGTCGAATTCTTAATTTGACTTTCATGGTTTCTATTATTTTGTTTTTATTCAAGTTATTTTTTATCACTAACTCAAAGATTACTGGAATACACACAATACTGTTGTAGAGTTTCTGGTTTATTATGAAGATTCTTCCAGTATATACATGACCAAAAATGTCAGTTCACCAGTTGTACCTTACACACACACACACACACACACACACACACACACACACACACACACAATCAGTGTTCCTTTGCAGTACCTAGAAAAACTGCCTCTCCCCCCCAACAAATGGCTAATTGAAAAGACTGCTGTAGTAAGAGCATCAGTCTGTGTATCTTATATTTACATATTTTGAGGCAGTGTGATAAATCTTTCAAAAAGTGGTCTGTTCATTTAAAGTCGTATGACCAGATTCCTTCCTCCATGGTTAAGAAAGAAATTTGTTTCTTTCTCACAGGTGAGGATACAAATCACAAAATCAAAAATCTAGGACTAATAGGGATCTAGTCAGTGGCTCTACTATGCCAGCAACACACATCACAATTACTGGTTGTTCTGTAAGGCCCTAATTTGAGTCAGAAGGTCTAAGTTCTTAAGTATAGTCTAGGTGTATCTTTAAGAGAACCGCTTGTCACCACAGCTATAAAGAATTATGATTGCTCAGACAGTTCTAACAGGTAAGAGGTCATATTATCCCCACCACCACCATTTTTAATAGCTACATAAAACCAGGCACATAGTTCACTTTTATTTATAATCAAGTGGGTACTATACTCACAAGTGCCCAGTCCATTTTAAAACTTCATGTGGAGTGCTGGTGGTACTGCTTCATGCATTAAATCCCACACTGTGCTTCGTGAAATAGAATGTAAGAGAAATAACTCACCATAATTCCCCTTTGCCATGTGATAAGTATTTTGGTCTGCCAGATATTGATGAAGAGAAATGTAGTAAATCAGTAAACCAAAATCATACGGTAGAGATAACAAGTATAATTACCATATCCCACCCCAAAGGAAAACTGGCCCATGTCAGTCTGTAATTAAACGAGCATGAATACCACCTAACCATGTTACAACAGAAAGCATCACTTAACATCAGTCCTCATAAGTCACAATTAGTTGGGTCAAAGTTATCCTTCCTTCAAAAACAAAGTGGCAGTATATACAACTTGTCCTTCATCAAGGCTAAATGGAGGAACCCTGAACATCAAGAACAAAGGATTTACACGATTGATCTGGACACCACAGACATCAGAATAACTGTTCCTGCTGGTTACCAGAAATTACCTTCTCTACAACAAAAATAGATTTAGAACTTGATTAAGTTAAGTCAGAGATCTACTTTTTCTCAACAGGTCAGCCAATTCTTCCCTGATGTGCTGTACAGAAACCTCATCTCTTTTCAGCTCTGCTCGCTTCAGTGCTTCCTGGTAGATCTCTTTTGCTTGTGTATATCGTTCTAAAATAACCCAAAGAAAAAGAAGAAAATGTGTTTTCAACATGACTATGAAAAGCTAGTACCAATGGGGATTCAGGTCTAATTTCCTGTACGCTAATACTGAGTGACAGACTGGATCCTGCTTCATTGCAGGCCTGTTTAACAAGCTGACTTAGACCAGATCTGACCCAGGTATAAGAACTCCAAATCACCTGAGTGCTGTGGGATTCCTCACTGTGTATTTTTTGATATACACTGGGGCCCTCACTCAACCAACCAATGGCCTTCTATATGACAGCTGAAAATGACAGCTGAGGCCCTAAGCAGTACACTGTAGAGTGATGACCCTCAGAAACGTCTGTTAAACTGATGCTCTCTGTCACACCCAGCTTCTCCAGTAAAGTTTGAGAAACAGCAAGGTGCAAACACTTAAGAACTTCAGATGCTATCATTGCAGAGTTTTCTATCAACTATAAATTCATCAGGCTACTGCAGATACACGTTATGTGATTAGGAAAAATGGTACTTAACCCTAACATGCTATTTCTACCCTTCTTCAACCAACCTAAGTTAGGATTTTCCTCACTGCTCCTCGCCCTCCCTAAATACATTTTCACTAATTTATAAACTCAGTAATATCCCTTTGTAAAGCAAGCCAGTCAAGTTTCCTTTGCTACTTACCTCTATGTATCAAAATTGCAGCTAGATTACTGAGTACCATGTGCAGCTCAGGATGATTTATCTGTCTTGCCAGTTCTGATGCCCTTTCCATATAAACATAGGCTTCATCAAAGTGCCCCTGTGCATCCAATGTAGTAGCCAGGTCACTCATCAGTACAATTGTCTGTAGATTAAAAAAATCTAGCTTTAAAAAAAAAATGTATACAGACTGCTTATTTAACATTTGTTACATTGTGAGTACAACACAACTTTATCTTTCCTAACATTCCACAGAAGGGGAGGGATGCCAACCTTTAACAATTTACAGGCACTTACTCAGTACAGTGTGCAGTATTAGTTCAACTCTGACAAATGACACAAACACAGAAATTAGGGTTAAGGTAAGCAGTGTTAATTATCACATTAGAAACTCGAAAAGGCAAAAAAAATTCTAACAGACGGGCAGCTCATTCAGGAACTATTCTTATTTCCCATTCCTTTTCCCAATATATTTTCCTGCTCAGCTTCTGTTGTTCCTTAGAATTCATTCTTTGACATCAGGGATCATGAATTTAGGAGTATCTGGCATCTCCCTTCTATCACTGGTATTATAGACAGCTAAGTTACTTAACTGAGTCATGCAGTGCAGAAGACAGCTATGGCTGAAGATGCACCTGTTGAAGCTCAGCTCTCAGGACAAAGGAATGACTATGCCCATACACTTCCCCTAGGGAAGAATACTAGTGATTGATATTCTAAATAGATCTGTAATGCAAGCACTAGAGGCTGAGGTAGGAGGATAGCTGCCCTGGCCAAGCTGGGCAACAAAGTGAGCTCAAGGCCAACCTGAACTGCATAGTAAAGCCTTGTCACAAAAAGACAAAAAAAAAGACATCGATCACCTTTGGTATAGGATCAAAACCTTCAGAACCCACCCTTTTCAGGATTGTCCTTGCTTGTCCCATGTGTACTTGCTAGGTGACTTGCTTCCCCATTTGAAATGCTTCCTCATTTAATAAATATCATCTAAGTAGCTATAGTTTTCATCTTATTGGTTGACCATAGTTTTGTCCCACTTCAAACTGACCCTGTGATTTTCCATTGGATCAATATATTACTTAAGCAACTATACTTGTAATATTACTAATTAACTATAGTTCTGACTCATTTCAAACCACCTCACCTCATGGTTTTATTGATAAACTCTCTTGAGAAGCTGGCTCCCCAGGGTCAACCATGCAGGACCTCCTTCTATGACACTTAGACAAAGCTTTTTTTCTCTTAATAAATACTTGGTAGTCTTAAAAAAAATCTGACTAAAGCTTCCATAATTTTGAGAAGCCAACCTCTTTAGCATCTGTCTGCCTCTAAAACCTTATTATAATGTCATTCCTGCTGGTGATTTTGAGGCTCACTGAAATAAAAAGAAAGATCTATTTTAGGAAGAGTCTCATTAAAGTATTTAAAATTTTGGTACTGAGAAAGGAGATAAGCTACTTTTTTTTTTTTTTTTTTGGCTGAACCAGGGATTGAATTCGGGCCCTTGCACTTGCCAGGGAAGTGCTTATTCTACTGAGCCATCTCCCCGGCCCCTAAGCTTCTACACTTTACCCTCCATTGAAGCTATGCTTTTGGAACTCTGATTCTAATACTTGGTAATCTGAATTCTGTGCTTGCTATCTTATCTTCATGGAAGTCTCATTAGAACACACTGGGGGAGGGGGGAGGCTGCCCCTTAGCTCAGTTCTTTAAGTGGCTCCTTCAACAAAGCTGTCAGGCTCAGGTTGCTGTGGTTGGAGCCCCACAACTCAAGCCAGCCAAACCTGCCCTGAAGGCATTCGGAGCAAAAAAAAAAAAAATTCTTATTGGGGCCAGGGAGATGGCTCAGTGGCATAAGCACTTCCCTGACAAGCACAAGGGCCTGAGTTCAATCCCCAGTTCCTCAAAAAAATAAAAAAATAAAAAAAAATTTAGAACACACTAGGTAAAATGTCCAATATTCTTTTCCTAGACATAATTCATAGCTCTAATTATCTTCCCAAACATTTTATGTTTAGTAAAGTTAAAAACTGTCTTAGGTTGTGGCTGGAAGCGTTCATAGACAAAACAATCTCTTCTTTACCTATAAGAATTACTTTGATATAACAGTCAGATTTCAATTCAATGTACTTAGTGTTCCAACACAAAGTTTTGCATGTTGTGCTTACATTCTGTAACACTACACAAGTATTTAAAATTTGTTTTGGTACTGGGAATCAAACTCAGGGCCTCACACTTTTTAGGAAGGTGCTGTGCCACGACCCCACTGGGATCCAGTGCTTTAAAACTTAATGCCATCCAGACATGGTGCTGGCATTGAAGGCCAGGGTAAACTATGTAGCAAGATCCTGTCTCAAAAAAAAAAAAAAAAAAAGGAATGCAGTCTTTGTTTTTCTTATTCTTTTTTTTTGTATTTGGTACTGGGACTCACTACACAGCTCAGAATCATAGTGATCCTCCTGTTTTCAGCCTCCCTAGCACTGGGATTACAGGCGTGTACCACCGCACCCAGTCTATGTGGCTGGCTCAGTGCACCAAGGGACAGGATTGGTGGTGTGGTACGTGGTGGTGGGGATTGAACCCCAGGCCCTGCGCTTACCTGCACTTAGTCCACTAAGCTATCTCACAGGCCATATTTACTCCTTTTTTAAACTGCGGAACAAGGGAGGCAAGGAAACTCATGTATTAACTTGATTCTTACAAGACGTTAATGGGATGTCTACAGAGTCCATTCAGCACAGGCTCTATACACTAAAGCTACAGATACAGAAGCACAAGGTGCATGGTTAGATCTGCCTCATAGAAAGGTTGGTCTCTTGCTCAAAGTGCAATGCATTGAGTCACGCAATGCATTCTGGGCAGACTTGCTAACTGATGAGCAATTTCAAATCCCTTCTGAAACACATAATTGAGTGCAGGCAGACTGGTAGTAACAAAGTGAATGGACAAGGCTTGACACAGCAACTAATTCTGTTTGCAGTTAGTGCTATTTCAGGCCCTTTTTTTTATTTTTGAAATTAGTATTTTTTAGCGTATTTTACTCCTTTTTTCCCCATAATTTTATTGAGAGACAAATAGCAATGAGACAGTTTCAAATCAAATTGGTATGACAGTTTCAATAATTAACACATTGCATACATTCTTCCTAATGGTTAATTGCTGTACAAGATGCAGACATAATATCCTGTTTACAAACACTATTAGAACAAATCCCTCTATTCATTAAGAGAATGTAACTATCTATCCTAACCATTTTGAATACACAGATACAAAATGGACATTCATCTGTATCCCCTTTTTTGTTTAGTTCTATCATTTGAATATTATAGGTATGTTAACTCAGCAAAATATTCTAAAAGAGTCCAGTAGTCCTTAATAGTGTTGGGTCTTCCACTTGACTGGCAGTGTCAGAAATTGTTGACCTGAGTCCCCTACAGCTCAACATAACAGCATGGCTTTACTTCTCTCTCTCTTTTTTTTTTTTTTTTTTTTTTTTGGCGGAACTGGGGATTGAACTCAGGTCCTTGCGCTTGCTAGGGAAGTGCTTATTCCACTGAGCCATCTCCCCAGCCCTGGTTTTACTTCTTATACTTCGTTTTTATACTTTTCTGCTGGATGGTTAAGTAAGACCAAGATAAAGCAAGACCTATGCAACAAGAGTTGTAGCTTTTGGGTCAGATAAAGTCAGTGAAATCCCCTCAGGATTTTTCCTGAGATCCTGTACCTCAGATTGTAGATCCTTTGTCAGTGTCAGCCATGTGGATGAGTTACAGCCATTGCTTGGCCAGTGTGCTCTCTGTGAAAGCCTGAGAAATGTTTTCTCTCCATATGACTCTCCTTAGGCACACTCTATATCATCGATCACTTTCCTCTTTGGCCCCATAATCTCCTTGATCAGAAAATTTGGGATACTACCGAGTTACATGACATTACAGTACAAGTTCTCATATGTCCTGAGTCTTAATTGACCTTGGAAGGCTAGGGCCAAAATGTTGGCTTTCCTTGCAGCCCTCCTTTTTCTCTAATTTTGGTCTGCAAACTTAGGTTGTTAACCCTCCACAAGAGAAGCTTATTGTTATTACCATACAACCTAGGCTGTTAAGCTTAAGCTCACTGTCTGAATATCAAACATCTCAGGCATAACATGGAACAGATATTTTTCATCAAGTATTGATATGCTGAACTTTAAGTCCCTACAGAATATGATGAAAAAATTTAAAAAATCAAAATATATTTTTAAAATAGGCATAAAGAATTATATAATTCTTATGTTTACACGTAAGTCCAGAAATCTAACCATATACAACCTTGTAGTAGGACAGTCCTACCACATTCCTTTTCTTGTCTCCTGCCTTCATTCCCCACCATTTCTTAAGGTTATGTTTCCTTTGGTACCTGTGGATGTCTTTCTCCTTGTATTTCTTCTGATATCTGCAGAGCTTTTTCATACATCCTTTGTGCCTGGGATGGCTGTTTGGAGAATAGAAGGTATCGTGCACAAGAATCTAAGCACATGCCCAGGAGAAGGTGGGTATTGGCTTTTTCTTCTTCTAAGAAGGAAATAAGAACATTGTAGGGATGTAACGACGATGTTAGAGAAAGCAACTAACACTTAGCTAACCTCCCTCATCATTTGTGTTACTAGGAGCCACAAATGTTTCAGGTCACTTATGTTATACTGAAAGAAGACAATTTAGGTGTTTTAAAATCCAATTAAGTGACACACTGGACTAGCTGAAATCATGGAACTTCTCCCCACACATTTTAAGTTGATTAACATTCTAAAGAGCTATGAAATGTGAAACTAGTTATTTATCAAAAGAAATAGATGAACATAAACCCGAAGTAGAAAGAATTAACAACAAAAGTCTAAAGTTAATGTAAAAGATACAAAAAAAATACAGTAAAAAGACAAAGAATGCTCAAAATTCCAAATGGAAAGCCTCAAACCAAATTTAAAGAATAGTTAATACAGTTTTCAAGAAAATAATGGCTGGAATGATATATACAATGAGCCACTATATCTGTGTCTGTCTGTCAATCAATACTGTGTATTTTATTATCTGGAAAGCAATAAATTTAAAGCACCTTCCACCACATAAAAATAACTGAAGAAAGATCTAGAGACCAGTATAACCAGTATCAACTTACACAAGTAAAGACTTCTGAAAAATGATCCACATAATGTGGAGAAAATAATATATAGTATAATCCCAACCACTCAGAAAAAGTAAATGTTCCTATAAAGGACTACAAAAACAGGTTGCCTTGAATCTTATATAACAAAATTAGCAGATGCCTAACTGAAGAGTTCTAGCTGGGTTTACTAAAAAAGCTATCATTCACAGCAAACCCTCTACTTATCTTCAAAGTTCTCAGAAAATTTAGAAACAGCACACAATTTAAAGATATATTATTAAGTAAACCTATGACCAATTACTGAAGAGAGAGTTTAAAATAAAACATAGCTATGGGGGCCAGCCGATAGCTCAGCAGACTAAAGCGCCTGCTTAGGCATATGCAGGGTCTGGGGTTCCATCCCTGGCTTGCCATGCTGGGCCCGCCCCCAGGGCACTCTGACATGGGGGCTGAGACTGGGCATGGTGGTACACTCCCCTAGTCCCAGCACTTAGGAGGCTGAAAACAGAAGAATCACTACAAGTCCCTATGAGTTCAATCTGTGCAGAGAGACCCTGTACTAACTACATTAAAAAAACAAAACAAAACAAAACAAAAAAACCTCCTAAAAACATGTAGCTATGGATGAAGATACCTGCTGGTATAACACCAAAGTATAAAGTAAAAAAAAAAAAATGAAGCTTTTCTTTCAACAGAAATCTCAAGTTACTTGCTCTTGTTTAGTCAAATTTGAAATGTCAATACTAATCATTTTTTAAAGAACAAATTAGTAGTCTTAGACATCTCAGAAATTTATGCTCAAATAAACAATGCATGAAAATTATTTTTATAAATTTAAAGTATAAATTTATGGGTAAATGTAAGTGGAAAATAAACATAATACCAACAAAGTGTCTTATGTAAAGACACTATGTTTCTTTACTAAAAGAAAAGATTAAGACAAAAAATTACTATGAGTACTCAAAAATTTAAATACTGAGCAAAAATTTATCAAACAGCAGTTTAATATTTACAATTCTGAGATAAATTATTATGTAACAAGGCAATTAAAATGAAAAGAGGGGCTGGTGAGATGGCTCAGTGGTCTAAAGCACCTACTTAGAACAAACTTAGCAAAGCAAAGGGACTGCGGTTCAATCCCCCAGCACCACATGCCAGCCAGGGCCGCCCCCTGGTGGGCTGAGCTGGCCACACACACCACACACACACACACACACACACACACACACACACAAATAAATAAATAAAATAAATAAATAAAATGAAAAGAATGAGCTAAATCTCCATAATACTCCTTTGAAGTATAAGTCCACATGTAGATAGCTGATTTTTAACAAATTTGGGATTTAGAATTCTGCACAGCTACTAAAATTCATTTTCTCTGAAAATACTTAAAGATGAAGATTGTTCCACATAAATCCGAAATATCACAGAACATATTTTTCTGATATTTTTCACATAGAACATGTATGGTTAACTTTAGACATTATAGAATATACTACAAAAATGATTGCTCAATTACCTTTTTGAAATTTGTATTATCTTTTTTAAAAATTTTACTTTAACGAAAAGAAAAATGAACAATAAAAATAATGGTATAAAATTTCAAAACAAGTTTGTAGCGAAGTAACCAGTTAGCACACCTTGTACCATCACTCTCAAAGCAATTGCTCATATTTGTATTGTCTTTAAATGTTACTATTGTTTTATTAGTTTTTAAAAATACGTTCTATTGGGGCCGGCCTGATAGCTCAGCAGACTACAGTGCCTGCTTAGGCAGAGTGCAGCAAGCAGGGTTCCGTCCCTATGCCGTGCCAGCCCTGCCCACAAGGCGCACTGAGAAGGCGACTGAGACTAGATGCGGCGGCATGAGCCTGTAATCCCAGCACTTGGGAGGCTGAAAACAGGAAAATCACTGGGAGTCTGATCTATGTAGTGAGACCCTGTAGACCCTGTCCTAAATACAGGGGGGAAAAGACATGTTCTGTTACCCTCTTTTTTGGTACCAGGACTCAAATTCAGAACGTCAGGCAGGCACTGTACTGAACTATCTCCCAGACCCTACAGTTCATAATTAGATGATATTTTCAATAGTGTAACTTCAAAAGTATAAGAATATATGGCTGGAAATGCAGGTCAGTTGAGTCCTTATCTAGCATGCATGGCCATGGGTTCCATCGTTACACTGCCAGAAACAAACAAACCCTATGAAAATATTAAAAATAAAATGAACAAGTTGGGCCAGCCAAATAGCCCAGCGGATTAAAGCACCTGCAAGCAGGCACAGGGGCCAGGTTGGATTCCCGGAGGCCTGCCATACAGGCCCTGCCCGTGGGGAGTGCTGAGACTGCAACTGAGACTGAGCCATGGTGGCGTGGCCTGTAAACCTAGCTCTTTGGAGGTTGTAAGCAGGCAGATCACTATGACTCTGTTCTAGTATTGAGACCCTGAACACCCTATAGACCCTTCCCTAAATTACAAGAAAAAAAAAAATGAACAAGTAATTCTAGTAGAAAACTATTAGTCCTGTTATCAGTAGTGGCAATTAACCAGAGTGGAAAAAACAGCATAATTAATGAAGTGTAAATCTAGCTATATTTCTAAGAAGTATTTTTTAAATACATATAAATTTATACAACATTCTGACTATAGCAAAAACAGAAATATCTGTCAGAAAGCCTAAACTAAAAGCATGACCAAGGAAGAAATAAAAATACATTATAACAGAACTCTCAGAAAATAAAAAGGCTCCATAAGCAAAGTGTTAGCATAATGCAAGAGAAAATTTCATAAATTTAATAAAGTATCAGAAAAAAGACCTCCCCACCAGGTATAATGGTGCATTCCTATAATCCTCAGGACTCAGGCAGCTGAGGCAGGAGGATTGTTGTGAGATCAGGACCAGCCTAGGCTACAAAGTCAGCTCAAGGCCAGTCTGAGCTGTATAGCGAGACAGTGTCTCAAAAAGCCAAAAAAAAAAAAAAAAAGAGTTCCCTTCCTTAGAATGTATTGTTTATTTAAATAATTTGCTGAAACACAGTTCTTGAAATACAGAAACTGCTAAAAGTTAAATGAAATCAGATAGTTTAATAACAACTGACAATAAGATGAGGTTGCTTACATGAAGCCCCAAAAGAATCACTTGAACCTGGGGAAAGGGACACATTTATTTCTTCAAACTTACTTTTACTCAAAGAGTAGCCAAACAGAACTCCCAAATATAATGTACTGTACACTACCATGACCATGCAGCGTTCATTCCTGGGACACGGGATCACAAGAAGGCACCCCTTCTGGACAGGCGCACCTCAGCGACCTGCACTTTAGCAAGCAAACAGGGCTGCTAGGATGAAAGCTGCTTTCAGTATCAACAAAGACAAACTTCAACAACATTGTGTTGACTGAAAACAGCAAATTGCAGAAACAACTGTATGGCATGATGCCACATTAACTATATAAAAAGCAGATGAACAAGATGAAATTCAAGAGAGTAGTTGTACTGAGGCAAGATATACTACAGTTTAAACTTACTCCCCCTCAAAAAAAAAAAAAAAAAAAAGAAAAAAAGAAAAGAAAAAGAAAAGGAAAACAACCACTCTGAAGCATAGATGGCAAAATACTGAAATTTGATGAGGCTGAGGGGAGGGTAAACAGGTTATGTATTAAATTTTCTATACTTATGCTTGAACCTCTCTTTAACAAATCTGAAGAAGAAAACCACAGAACTGGCTCTTCTGAATAATGAATCAGTAATGTGTAATACAAATTGAAGAAATGCCCACAACATGGAAAAGAAAACTGGAGAAAGGATAAATGTGAAAGAAGACAGAAGCAAGTGTTCAGATAAATGACAATCTTAGGTAAAGGTCCAGAGCAAGTGGAAAAAGCCATTGAAGACAACTTGAGGAAGCTATGAAGCTTAAGAGACCTGGCCCTAAAACCATTCACCATGAACCAGGGAATTCTAATGGAGACAACTTCCTTATCATATGCTTATGTTAAGTTTTCTTTCTTACAAGCCACCCAAGCAGGAGGAAACAGGCTACCTACAAAACAAGCAAATAAGATGGCTGCAGAATCTCTGATAAATTTCATTAAGTCTACAATTCCAGATCATACAGAAAAATTGGGATTTCTAGATCACAAGGAAAAATGAAAGGCAGAATGTCAAACTCTATTTATCTCATCTCACAGAAAAATCCGAAAACATATTTTCTTCTTATAATCAGTTAAGCATGTCTTGAAGAAATTTTTAGGTTACTACTCATAGAACTGAAAATCATACATATAGAACATAAATGGCAGGAGACGAGGGAAAAGTCCCTATGGGAGGCACTGAAAACAGTAAAGAAGTAACAAATGTGTAAAATATTTTTAAAATGTAGAAATCACCATTTTGGATACTAATTCT